AGGGCCCTCGACAAAAAAGTTATCTGGTTTTTCAGAAGACCACATTCTCATATTCTGTGAGTTTACGTAACCACTTAAATGAAACCAGGCTTCATCAGAAAAAAAGGTGATATTATGAAGTTCACCGTAGTTGTTTAAAAACCATTCACAAAATACAGCCCGTCGCGGAAAATCAACTTCATGAAGTTCTTGCTGACAAGTTAAACGATAGGAGAACAAACGCAAATCTTTTTTTAACACTGTGTGGCAGGTACCGACTGATACTCCCACCATTTGTGATAAAACACGTACAGAAGTTCTTGGCGCATTTTCCATTATTTGTTGGACATTTTCTTTTAATTCTTCAGTCCGCTTTTTAGGTCGGCCGCTTCCTTCTTTTCTTGTTACACTGCCCGTTTCACGAAAAACATTAACACAACGCTGAACTGCACTTTGAAAAATTTTGTACTCAACAACGCCGGGAAATTGATTTTGAAATTCTATGAAACATTCCTCAATAGAATACTTCCATATTCCATCAATCTTGCGTCCATTTCTAAAGTAGGACTCTATGATAAACACTTTTTGTTCTTGAGAAAACACCATTTTAAACGCTTTTTAAAACGAAAATATTCAAATTGATAGCGGCGATATAGCGCTTTGACAGATGACGTTTAAGTTCATTTGCTATACGCTACGCCCTACGTCCAAATTTTCAGAACCAACTTGACCACGTTTTTATTTGAACGCTAATTAAAATATTTTTGTATAATTTGTAACAAAATGATAATCAAAGCTCGATATCTCGAAAACGGTTAAGTTTAGATAAATGATGTACTATATGAAATTTGTTTAGAATTTCGAGAAGAATTAAAATTTGGAATAATATACAGGGTATTATATTAAAAAAATCAGCTTTGTTTCGTTAGGAGTTTTTGACTGACAATGTATACTTAATTTTTCTGTATTGTAATAGATTTAAAAAAACCTAAATGTTTGTGTTTTATGCCTTTTCGATAGTAAATGCACAGAACCGAAATTTTGTTTCACCATTTCGTAACAGCATCGAAAACTTAATCAAAGGGTTAGCGATTTTGATAGATCTGCGCAATTTACACAGTAATACATATTTTTAACGTTAACTTGGCGTGTTTTAATCAGTACGTCATCACCTGTGCATTGATTCAAACACTTTCTCAGCCTATAACAGCCGATTCATAACCCCCATCCCGTAAATACCTGTTGATCGAAGCGGCATGCGCGAAATTTTCATTGAGACGGATCCAATGGGGCGGCAAATAAATTTCAGCCGCTGAAAATCTCTTCAGTTTCAACGCGCTCCGCGATCATATAGAGACGACTGGCTCTCATGCTACCACGTGACACGGGAAAATCGACGTCGAGTAATTCTTTTCCATTGCAATCAATTTGATAGTGCGTCAAGTAGTTTGCAAGTCTGGGGAGGACTTCGACAACTGTTAGGTGGTGCAGATTTGGCAAAGACGTACGGGATGATTCGTTTTTACTAGACCGTCGCTGTCGTGGTGGGTTTGGAAGATGTTTAAAGGGGGCGAAACTACTAGAAGGATCTTATATCTCAAAAAATTTTGAAAAAGTAACATTTTTCCTCAAACGTGTAGATTTGTATGCAAAGTTAACAAGTAACGGTGACAGTAACAAGGGAAATTGGAAATATAAAGCAGGATGTAAATATACAAATTATTTTTTCGAAAACTGTCTTCAAAGTCGACATATTTGTTAAATTTTCAGTTTACAAAGTGAGTCTTTTTTGTCACCTAGCTACAAAATACTTTTATATTCTAGAACGCCAAAGTATTTTTCGTTCTAGAACATAAAACAAATGTCATAATATTTTGCCACTTTCCGAGCTCATTTTCAACTAAACACTCTTAGAATATGAATTACAGTCTATAATTCTAACACTACTTTTTCAAACAACTAATTTTTATTGTTTGTTAGGTTGCTATCGTTATGATAGTCAAATATAAATTAAATTGTTGTATATAAAACAATTGTCTTATTTCATTGCAGTTTTCGAAAAAATATTGTATGCAACTCGGTAAAATAACTTCCATTCTTGAATGCAAAAGTACTATTTACAAAAATAACTATTTTGTTGGATGTTCTTGGATCATTTTAAATTTAAACTGATGAAACTTGGGCAAATAACACACCTAACTAAGGCAAAAATTCCCTGAAATACAAGTCTGTCAACCAGTCTTTAACACTTCCAAAATTTCGACGCCACTGATTTTGAGTAATTTCAACAAAAATTTCCCGTACATTTGAAATTAGCCTGAATTATCAATTCAATTGTCTGATAAGCTTATTTTAAATTTCAGTAAAAAATAACTTAAAAATTAAGTTTTTTATCTCAGCCTCAGTTTAACAGATTTTTACACCAAATTAGTGAGTTTTTCTTTATTTTAATCATAACATTAGACAGTTTCATCAATTTAAGTTGAACATCTTCAAAGATATTTGAATATATATGATATATACAGGGTGTAAGTTTGAATGGGGTTCATTTTTATGTAGAATAAGCTACCTTTGACCTTTAGAAATACGTTTTTTCATACCCCGCCGCTACACACCAGTCTAACCTGGTATTGAATATTTTGTTGTCAAATCTCATCTTTCTTGATTCGTGTTTATGTTTATTCATATCACACAGAGATTTAACTATGAAGATACACAAGGCCGCAGTACTGTCACTAAACTGTGAAATAAATAATTTTATAAGATTACCACTTAAATTTCAATATAAAATTAAACTAATGTACAAAATTTTTTAAAACTTAAAATCACACAAAAACTCAAAATCACACAAAAGCAATTTGTCTTTACACAAAATTATTTTCCATTGTAGTTTCATTCTCTGCCATTTCGGCCATATTGTTGGTTTAAAAAGATAACAGAAGGTAGCAGTAGTATAGTCCAATTAAATGGGCGTTTAAATTTTGATCAACTTGCCTGAAATTTTGGTGTAAGTTAGTTTGAGGTACATAATAACAATAAGTGAGAGTAATTTTTTTTAACCCTGGGCCATCCAGGGGTGAAAGAAGATAAAATAAACGGTTCTTTCAAAATAACTTAAAAGGGGTAAGAAGTAGAAAAAAAGTTTCTTATAAAAGTTGTAGAGCATAAAACTCTACATAAAAATGGTCTATTGACTTTTCTTGTACTATTAAAATTAACAGAGTTAGGGTGGCTAGAAGTTAAAGGGATGATTTCAGAAATTTAAAAAATCATAAAAAGCAGAAAAATTAGTGAATTAAATTTTTTTTTATTCAATCTACTCTAAAAATGTATCTTTTCAGAGAAATAAATAGACAGTTTTTAATTTTTAATAAAAAAGTTATAACAATTTCACAAAGCGAACGCAATTTTTTATCATTGTCGTAAGACAAAACTTCGAAAGCAGCTTTTCATTGTTTTAAATAACCAATCGAATGGCATAAAAAAAATTGTTTTAGTGTTAAATCATAAAAATTAATGATTAAAAAATTCAAGTTATAACTTTTTTATTAAAAATTAAAAAATATACCATATCAAAGTTACGTATTTTTATGATTATATTTATTTTACTGCATTTTTTAAAGCACCATAAAAAAATAGGTGAACTTTATTAAAGGTTCTGCATACTTCGGACTTATTGTTTGTGAGATATTTCAATTTTAGTGAAAATGCAGGCTTACCGTAGAAATTTAATATTAGCAATAAAAAAATAATTTTAAGGAATCAGCTTTAGAGAGTGTATTTTAGATCCTTGAAGTTATAAATTATTATATTTGTCGTCACTTAGTATTATACAGGGTGTTCAAAAAACTGCTGAATACTTTTCTCAACTTTAAACAGCAATAACTTGGTTATTTTAAATGAGACACCCAGTATATTTTTACTTTGGGAGTTAGGAAACTCTTTCAACCTTCAAACAGTGTATAGGTTCCCTCTAGGGTTCCCTTTAATGGTATTGGGGATATTTATGCCTTTCGTTTTTTACCGAAATTTGGATAAGAATGAATAAGAATATAAAAAATCTTGTACACAGTGTTCCACCTACTACTTGCGATGATATGAAGGAAAGAATTAGAGATGCACTTGCCACAATCACCCCAGATATTCTAAGGAATGTGAGAATATCATTTGATGATAGAATAAGAAGCTGTTCGATCATCAATTAAAATTTTTCTTTGTTTATCGTTAGAGATGGGTATAGGGAACCTGTACACAGTTTCAAAGAGTTTTAAATTTACTGGGGAAATATACTGGGTGTCCCATTTAAAATAACCAAGTTATTGCTGTTTAAAGTTGAGAAAAATATCTAGCAGTTTTTTGAACATCCTATATAATATTAAGTGACGACAAATATAATAATATATAACTTCAAGGATCTAAAATATTCTTTCCAAAGATGTTTCCTTTAAATAATTTTTTTATTGCTAATATTACATTTCTACGCTAAGCCTGCATTTTCACTAAAATTGAAATATCTCACAAACAACCTATTTTTTACGGTGCATTCAAAATGCAGTAAAATACAGGGTGTTTCATTTAAAAATACATAACTTTGATATGGTACGTCTTTCCTGAACACCCTGTATATTTCAAAATATTTTTAAAGGGTAGCCGTAATCAACCTACATATATACACACCTAAACATGTTTCTATAACATTTGACGTTTGGTCCCTAGTCACTACTATCCCTAAAAACTGACCACATTAAGGCTATTTGACTAAAAATGACCCAAGACACAATCTACTGAAGTTAAACTTAATTTTTTCTGTGAAATGACCATTCAATTTACTCACAAATTATATTTCTAATTTCCATAGTTACTCAACGACTCAATGTCAACCTATTTAGATCCAACTATGTAATTTCTACTCACTCGTAAAAGAAGAGCGTCAGTTTTCGAATTAGAATCGAATAAGAACTGTTGTCAGCCAACCTACTAACCCGCAGAAGAAAAAATGTGCACGTTACTCTGACCTTGTTATGGAACTGTCAACAAAACTACCAATCAACCTACTCCTTATAATAATTCTTCAAAATACCACTAGAACAAATGCCGGTTCAAATGGGTCCAGTCTAACACCAGAAGTGAGCTGCAAGACCGAGTCGGACAAGCCCGAGGAGAAGCCCAAGAACACCTCTGACTACACCGTCCTCTACGACTACCTGACTGGGACAGGTGTTCACAATTTCAGCGAGCACGTCACCATAGGGTTTCTGGGTGCCTATAGACAAGCCCAGGTGGTGCTCGGAGCGCTCCCACTGGCTGTGGATGCGGTCAACGAAGATAAAGGTGAGATCAAGTTGTGTATGGGGCGTGAATTTGATGTAGGGTCCGACAGCTGGTGCGTGCGGCACACCGTTTTCGGGATTGTAATAAGATAGGAGTAATCGGGTGTTAATTTTTTTGTTGAAGCTTAGGACACAGAAGAACGGATTAGTTGAGTTTTTAGATGTGGATGTAAGGGGAGGCGTCTATTTACAATTTGCGATTTGACTTTTAGACTTACGAAGGGTTGAATAATGAGGGAGCCGATGTCGTTTTTTAACGTCAATTAATTTTGAATATAAGGCACTCAGAATTTATTATGGAAAACTTTCAATTAAAAGTCTGTCGGATGCTCGGCTAGTCAGTTCTGTTTTGGGTGGTAAATAGTCCAATCGAATTAGATTTTAACGTGCAAACATTTGTTCAGTAAACAAGACACGTAAAAATAAGGTAAAATTCAGTGGAATTGAATGGCGTCCAAAGGTCGCAAAAAACAGTTTTTTCATTAAAAAAAAACTATACATTTTATAAAAAAATGTTTTAGACAATAATTGTAGAATTTTTTATAACAAAAAATTAGATAAATAACTGTATTTTAACAATATGGATTTGTTTTTTAACGTGGACAAAATTGATATTTTAAAAATACATAATAATTCACAGCCACACAAAAAAAAAGTTGGGTATACTTTTTATGCGACATATATTTTTCGTAGTAATTTGGCCTCCTGAACACGAATCTGGGGTCAGAATTGGCCCATCACGTCACAATTTTTTCCTAACCTCAAAAAACTTGTGAAAAATAGTGAAAATTGATGAAAATTTACTGGGAAAATTTGGAAAAAAATTTATTTCCACATCAAATAGTACATTTTTATGTAAAAGACTCTGCTGAATTCAAATCCACTGTCAGAATTGAGCTAGAACGTGTGGTTTTTTTTCTAACCTCAAAAAACCGAGCAGGAATCGCTATTTTCAAATTCTGAGCGGATTTTGACCAGATTTTGTATAAAGGGGTTTTTTGGGTCGCTGATTACGAATATGAATTCACATTGTAAAAATTCAAGATGGCTGATCCAATATGGCGGGTGTACTTTTTTGAAATCCACCGATTTCAGTAAAATTTGGCATCATAAGGATTGCTGGTTGATCTCACCTTCATTAATCACACATCTGGAGCCAGATTTTCATAAATCAAGGTAAAAGATTCCACTCCGTCTAAAAATGTGACTTCGCTTAAAAAAATGACTTAAGGACTCTACACATGTAATGATGTGTAGTGTGATGTGCTTGTTTCCATGGGACAAGACAAAAAAGTTTCTACTTTATTCTTTCATTTATTTAGTCGTGCATGGGCTTATGGTTTTCCAATCAGATTTTTTTAACTACTATGCAGTTTTCCTATGGCATTTAGATGCTTTTATTTCTTAATAATTTTAAAGTTCAAGGAAAAGGACACATTACTGCCACACAGCACATCACTGCATCTGCTTATGCCTTCAATCTAAAAATGTGACTTTGCCGAAAAAATGCCGCCTACTCGGCCTAAAATTATGACTCTGCCTACAAATTTTACCTTGATTTATGAAAATCTGGCTCCAGATGTGTGATTAATGAAGGTGAGATCAACCAGCAATCCTTATGATGCCAAATTTTACTGAAATCGGTGGATTTCAAAAAAGTACACCCGCCATATTGGATCAGCCATCTTGAATTTTTACAATGTGAATTCATATTCGTAATCAGCGACCCAAAAAACCCCTTTATACAAAATCTGGTCAAAATCCGCTCAGAATTTGAAAATAGCGATTCCTGCTCGGTTTTTTGAGGTTAGAAAAAAAACCACACGTTCTAGCTCAATTCTGACAGTGGATTTGAATTCAGCAGAGTCTTTTACATAAAAATGTACTATTTGATGTGGAAATAAATTTTTTTCCAAATTTTCCCAGTAAATTTTCATAAATTTTCACTATTTTTCACAAGTATTTTGAGGTTAGGAAAAAATTGTGACGTGATGTGCCAATTCTGACCCCAGATTCGTGTTCAGGCCAAATTACTACGAAAAATATATGTCGCATAAAAAGTATACCCAACTTTTTTTTTGTGTGGCTGTGATCAAAGAACTAATAACTATTGAAGATATACATATTAAAGCAAATAATAAAATTATGACTAATGCACATGATGGTGTACATTTTCTAAGTGTTTATTTGGATGAATTCTTGAACTTTAAATTACATTGTGATAAACTTATTTCGAAAATGAATTCTCTGAACTTTATTTTCTTAAATTTGAAAACAGTGCTGAACCTTTCCCAGCTTGTACACGTTTACTATGCCCAAGTAGATTCAAGACTAATTTGTTTATGTAGGCCAGGAAAATAAGCTGGGAAATTACCATTTCGCGACTTTTTGTTTCGGCAAGCTGAATTTATCACTATAGATGCTAAATATTATGTACAATAACATATTAGTTTCCACAGTCATAAAAAATTTTAAACGAAAGTTAAAGCTGAAGTTGAGTTTTTACATTCTTAAACTGAAGTTTTTATTTATTTTTTAAGTGCGTGACGAATCCTATACATGTATACTGTCTTAATGGAAAATAAAACCATTAAAACAATATAGTTATTGCAAAAAAACGGCTAAAATCGCAATTTTTTAAAACTTCTATATCTTTAAAACGAAAAAAGATTTGTTTACGAAACGAATATGTAGTCTTTGGAAAGTAGGATAAGAGCATTTTTGTAAAATTGTAAAATATTTTGCAAAATTTGAGTTTTTCGAAAAAAATAAACTTTTTTCAAATTTCAATAAATCATACAGTAGTGCACTCACGTGACCTATCATGGGCTTAAAATTTTCTTTAAGAGTTTTATTTTCCTGTGTAAATTGTGAGCGTATTGCAAAATATTTGGAAATATGCGAAAAATCTACCGAAACTTTGACTTCTTTTTTCGGGTCGAAAAATGTAGATCTTGTTCTTATCGTTCAAATTTAATCGGAATGGCATCATTGCCATTTGAAAGCCGACATTTTTTCACAAATTTTAAAAAATTGTCCGCTAACCTAGAAGCCAAGAAATTATTTTTTCAAAAAATCTCTCATCTCTTCAAAAACTCATTTATTGATATTAAGGTCTAAAATTTACACAAGTTTCAATAGATTTTTCAAATATTTCTAATTATTGTGCAATACGCGTACAATTTGCACAGGAAAATACAACTCTTATAGCTGTTTTACATTGACAACTTATTGATGAATAAATTGACGAAATTCTTCATGAATTAATTCACGAATTTATTGGTAAACAGTGTGGTTTTACACTGCTACAGACTTCGTCAAGTTTTTTGACGCATGAATCAGTTCTACCAACGAATCAAAGAAGCAAATAAATTTCAAAGATGTCACCTTTCCACTCATAATTGTAGTGATACAACAGCGGTACCGTTCTGACACATATTATATAAATATTAGTTTTTGTAAGTAACAAATCATTAAAAACAATGCAAAACTAGTACGACGCCACACAATTATTTACATATTCCAATAACATACCCTCATTACTGATCTGAGGCTGCAAATCTGTTAGGTTGGTACTTCCGAACTTCATGAAGAAATTCATGAAAATTAGAACATGCTCTAATTCGTCGAACTTGATGAATAAATTCATGAAGTTATTTGACAGCAAATTTCGTGCATTACACTGGTCCAATTTCTTGATGAAGCGACTTAATGAATTAATTGATCAATAAATTGTCAATGTAAAACAGCTACATAAGTGCATTATTCTATGATTTATTGAAACTTCGAAAAAATTTATTTTTTTCGAAAAACTCAATTTTTGCAAAAAGTTTCAAATATTTTGCAATTTTACAAAAATGCACTTATTCTACTTGCCAAGGACTACATATTCTGAAAGTTTCGTAAAAAAACCTTTTTTCGTTTTAAAGATATAAAAGTTTTTAAAAAATGCGATTTTTAGCCGTTTTTTTGCAATAGCTAATACATTTTCTTGAATGATATTATTGCGATATGAAATTATCTTTAACGCGCATGATCAGTAACATTGATATAATTTTAATTTATTAATTACTATAAAAGTAAATATTGTTCTATAAATTTAAAAATATAAATCCAATAATTCTTTTAGTTTCCCATTTGAGGTTTGAAGCTTTTTGAATATTTCTAATATTGCTAGAATATCGCGATATTTCATGTCATGACTAGTAAAAATATTGAGAAATCGTTCATGACAATGTGTACTATTATTTGGCTTATGTGACGTCACTACTAAAAAGGTCTATTAACAGCTTTAATAACAGTACAGAGACACACATTGTTTCTTATAATATTTAAGGAGATATTTTTTTATCGAATGACAGAAAATTTATATGATTCGAATATCCTACAGAACTGCGATATATCTACAAGCTAGAGCTAGATAATAATTTACTATTTTATTTGGAGGCTACATTCAGCTGCGTTGCCAAGGCAATCATCTGGCATATCTAATAAATTGCTGGAAAATTTCTCAGGAATTCGGAATCTGCTGTGTAGGACCTTTTTTCATGCGTGTCAATGGCGTAGTCAGAAATTTTTCATCTTTAGTGCAAGGAACAATTTAAAAAATTGGAAGAAAACTTCTCTTAGTAAATGCTCTGAGTATGTTATATTTTAAGTTTTTCAAGAATTAATTATTCTCAGAATAAATTAAAATAAATAGTTTATTAAGTATTAAGGTCAGTAAGGCAGTAAAAGACGGCAGTGCTTATGACGTTTTTTGTACGTTCAAATATTGAATAAATTTAATGAAAATTGAAAAGTTTAATATTTAAAAAATACAGGGTGTTTCGCATAAGAACCGACACATAGCAGGGATATACAGGGTCGAAAAGTCCCCATGGTTCATCAGCCGTTACGTGAGAGCGATAAAGTAAGTCATAGAAATCCATGCGATAGAGGAAGGCGTCTCATAGTCACCGCCCGTTTCGCCCTTCCACAAATAAGATCCACTTCCACTTGTAATTCAGCGACCGGTGGTCATCTTTGTTTTCGTCGTTTGCCTTTTCTGTAATAGATGTCATTAGGTACTTATACAATTCCGACTTCGTATTCCGATATGTTAATACAGTCCGTTAACAGAGGGCAGCACAATTTGTCTAAGGTGATGAGCAGCCCTAGAAAGAGAGATACCAGATCTACAGATTTTTTTGGAATTGGGGAAATAGGGAATTTTGCTTTTATTTCTTGGGATTTTTAAGTCATTTTAAAAAGTATACTTAAATAACAACTAAATGAACTTTAAATGCAGCTGAGTACTAGACTCCATTTGAATAACTTCTCAGTAGGGGAAACAAGGTCACTAGATTTACAAACAGAGGTATCTACTAGCTACTGTAAAAAGTTTCTTTGTTACGCGTTGTGCTGGCTTGTGATTTGGACAGTAAGTGGGGAATAGCTCAAGAAACAAAATACACCCTATGCTGATATATATTTTTACCCTGGGGGTGGTTTCTACCCATTTGTAGGGGTTGAAAATAAATTTTGTCAAAATAATCCCGGGAATCGATAAAGTAACTAATTTCAAGCAAAAAATGTTTCATACAATTTTTTTGATAAACCAATACTTTCTGAGTTATTTGCGACTGAAAACTCAAATTTTCAATTGAAAAATTGTACTTTGTTTCTTGAGCTATTCCCCACTTACTGTCCAAATTTCAAGTAAATCGAATAATAGCGGAAATTGGAGCTAAAAACATCATAAACTGAAATATTCGTAAATTTAAGGGTTGTAAATTTGTTTAGCTCAATTTCAACAATGGATTCTTATTCCTCATCTCAAAAACTGTAAAAAATGTTTTGTATCATTTGAAAAAAAACTTTTTTCAAACGAGAGAGCAAAAAATGTAAATCTTTTTCCAAAATTATAATTTTGGGGCCCAATTTTGAGGGTGTAAATGGCGAAACTTATTTAGAATTTCTCCAAAACACTCTCCCTGATCTACTTGACGAGGTGTCACTACAACTCAGACTGGAACATTGGTTTATGCATGATAGAGCGCCCCCTCATTTTAGTAATGTTGTTAAAGACTTTTTAAACCATCAGTTTCCAAATAAATGGATTGGAAGAGGAAATAATTGCCCACAAGTTTGGCCTCCACGGTCACCAGACCTCAACAAATGTGACTTCTTTCTTTGGAGAACGTTCAAAGAATTGGTGTATTCCTCGCCAGTTGCGTCTCGAGCAGAATTGTGGAATCGCGATAAGGATAAATGCACATTCATTAGAAATAATCAGCAGTTATTGGATAGAGTACCTAGACGAAGAATAAATCTATGCCTCAGAGAAAACGGTGATCATTTTGAACAACGTCTTAAGTTGTTTTTCCTGATCGTCAACTTTTGAATTTTCAGTGATTTTAAATCACACAGCTACAAGACGTGTTATTAGTTATTCGTGTTTTTGTTGGAAACCTCACCCCGTATACTATTAGATCTACGGTCTCAACAAATTCAGTAAAGGTGTCAAATTACCTGAGCGTGCAAAATACCTTAACGTCAAACAAAAAATTGAATTTACAGATCTGTCAACGTCATTACAAATCGATTCTGATACCTACAAGCGTAATACTCTTGGAATATAATCGCATTAGCAGTCTTTTATGCAATATTCTAAAACAATATCGATGTACGTACAATCCCCACACGTAGATTAGATAATGGATGAATAATAATTTTAATCCCTCTTCCTCGGTCATTAATCTAGAGATTTCATGAAATATCCGCGGTGTTGTTGAGCAGAATTGATAGAGGCATTAATGTCACGTGACACACATCAATAATTTTCCTAAACGAATTGATCTACTGCGTAAACAGCGCAAGTTTGCAAAATAGTGATATTATCAAATACAGTTACTACAATATTTTTACGTTTTTATTTGTTTTCTGACAAAAGGATGTTGATCGTGGATGTTGGACACGTTTTTTTGCTACGAAGACGATAAAAGGCCTCTTTTCAGAATCACTGAAAATTTAGTACCTAAGCGATAATCTCTTACAAGGAAATGATTTTCTCTTACAAGGTCAATAATTTTAATAGTACTAGATATACAGGGTGTTCCTAAATATCATGTACATAAGGAAGGGGGTAATTCTCTGGCTTATTTCAAGACTAAAAGTTCATATAAACATAGGTCCGCAAACCCTTCGTTACCGATCAATAGGGTGTCGAAATTTTAAGATTTTTTTAGTTTTTTCTTTATAGTTACCGCAGTTTTTCAGATATTTAGCTGAAATTTGGAATATAGGTTACGCTATAGGGCTTACGTCATTGGGCATGCTAAATAGTCGTGATATTCTACAGAGTGATATTTTTTCGGGGTTCATACCCCCCTTTTCTTCCCCTGAACTTTTGTGCGGTGCGCCGCTGGTAGATTCTAAAATCAAAATTGAATTTTGTGTTTTGTTGAGAAACTCATTTGCCTCTTATAATTTTTTCGTATCTGCGACCGTTATCGAGAAAAAAAATAAAAAACGATTTTATGTAATTCGTTAGATGAAATTTAAATTCTTAAAATGGTCCAGTAGGCTCTGGCTTTATTTAGATAATTTCTTGTTTCTATTAATTTTGACAGTTCGCATTTGAAATAGTAACTTGGGTCGGCATATGTTTAAAAATTAAAGGTTTTAGTTACAAACTGTAAGGTGTAAAAGTGTTTTAAATACTCATTGTAGTCTTATTTTACAAATTTGAGTATTCACTCCACAAACTCGCCGGTGACTTTAAAGTTCTTGACTTCTCCATGAAATATACTAGCAGTGACATTTCAGAAACACCAGTATTTTTGTTCTGGCACCATTCTTTGCAATATCTATATGCTCGTTTGTAGCGCACTTTCGACTTCTTCGCAGGCAGCATTTGCTGCACTTTCTAACGAGCGTTCAAATAAAAACGTGGTCGAAGTTGGCTCTGACACATTGGACGTAGGGAGTAGCTTATAGCGACCAACTTAACCTCATTTCTCAACGAGCTGTATAGCAGCTGTCAGTTTCAATAACGTTAATGACTATATAACTTTATTTTAAAGAATAATCGTGATAACAATAACAAACAATTAAAGGAGCTGCGGAAAGTGTCCCCCTCCTTGTTATAACAATAAATTAAAGCAGCTGCTGAAAGTGTCCCCCTCCTTGTTCCAAGCACTTTTCACACCTGTTCCTCAAAGAATTAAAGACATTTTCTAAGATGCTCGGGGTATTGTTAATTTCACGAATCTTGTCTATAAGTCGAGCCTGCAGATGGTTTAAATCAGGAATAGGCAGTTCAAAAATAGTGTTTTTAAGGTAAGGCCACAAAAAGAAATCACACGGCGTAATATCACATGACCTCGGTGGAAATTCATGTTCAGCATTGAGACTTATTAGTCGATTTTGGAAAACTTCCCTCAACATATTCATCGTCTCGCCTGCCGTATGTGCCCTTGCGCCATCTTGTTGAAAGTAAAAGTTTGTAATTTCGTTTTCTTCCAGCTGGTTAACAAAAGGAGCGATAATTTCTTCTCTATACCTTTGCGCAGTAAGAGTACCATTAAAAAAAATAGGTCCATAAATCCTCCTTCGATTGAGAGCACACCAAACTCCAATTTTTTGAGCGTGTAGAGGGCCCTCGACAAAAAAGTTATCTGGTTTTTCAGAAGACCACATTCTCATATTCTGTGAGTTTACGTAACCACTTAAATGAAACCAGGCTTCATCAGAAAAAAAGGTGATATTATGAAGTTCACCGTAGTTGTTTAAAAACCATTCACAAAATACAGCCCGTCGCGGAAAATCAACTTCATGAAGTTCTTGCTGACAAGTTAAACGATAGGAGAACAAACGCAAATCTTTTTTTAACACTGTGTGGCAGGTACCGACTGATACTCCCACCATTTGTGATAAAACACGTACAGAAGTTCTTGGCGCATTTTCCATTATTTGTTGGACATTTTCTTTTAATTCTTCAGTCCGCTTTTTAGGTCGGCCGCTTCCTTCTTTTCTTGTTACACTGCCCGTTTCACGAAAAACATTAACACAACGCTGAACTGCACTTTGAAAAATTTTGTACTCAACAACGCCGGGAAATTGATTTTGAAATTCTATGAAACATTCCTCAATAGAATACTTCCATATTCCATCAATCTTGCGTCCATTTCTAAAGTAGGACTCTATGATAAACACTTTTTGTTCTTGAGAAAACACCATTTTAAACGCTTTTTAAAACGAAAATATTCAAATTGATAGCGGCGATATAACGCTTTGACAGATGACGTTTAAGTTCATTTGCTATACGCTACGCCCTACGTCCAAATTTTCAGAACCAACTTGACCACGTTTTTATTTGAACGCTCGTTATTTGAAAATCACTCATTTGAAAATAATAATTCAATACCAGCAAAATTGCAACTTTTATGTAGCTTTGTTTATAAACACCTTAGAAACGACAAAATCCAAACAACTAAGGCGACTTTGCAAGATTTCGAATGTCAACATGAATTGTTTAAGAAATGTCAAAAAGTAAAACCTAATCTTTATTTCATGAACCATAAAGAACTGTGGGAGCAGATAAAATGTTATATGCCACGCAGCAGTTAAGTATAATTTACCAGTCTCGGACTCTATTGACAGCCCTCGCTCCGCTCGGGCGCAAAAATGATACTTACCTCCTTTGTGGTGTAAATAACTATTTCGTTCCAGTTAACTAAACAGTCTTCTTGACACTGAATTACTTGTAAAATGTCCACGGTTTTCGAAAAAAAAAAACATTTTCAACGTTTCTATGAACAAACCCGAAACACTCTGTATGTGCACCCTCTATTTTCATTCCAGAGCTACTCCCTGGACGGCACTTGAGTTATGTGGCGGCAGACATCGGAACCAACCCCCCAGCTTTGGGGGTGGCACGTAGCAAGTCCTCTTTGGCAGCCCACGCCATCAGGGTTATGACAGAGATGAGGGACAACGGCACCATCGCTTTCATAGGCCCCGACGACACGTGCTCCTCGGAGGCCCTGGTCGCAGCCGCCTGGAATCTGCCCATGATCTCCTACGTGAGTACAGAGCCTACTTAGATATGCGGAATGATGTTTTTCTCGCGAATGTGAGTCCTGAAAACATTTTTTAGTCCAGTCGCTGAAGCATTTTGGCTACCAATTTTTTCGGATGGAATGGATTGACGTGAAATTTGAACTGTAGCTAGGGAATAGCCCAAGAAACAAAAGTTATATACTGCCGATGTGTGCTTTTACCCTAGGGGTGGATGCCACCCCTTCTGGAGGGTGGGAACTTTTTTGTTAAAAATAACCTTACGATTCGATAGAGGGGCGCTTTCTAAGCAAAAAATGTTCTATAATAATTTTTTGTACAGATAATTCTTTTTGAGTTATTTGCGCCTAAACATGTTCGTTTTTAGCCCAAAAAATACATGTTTTTGAGTCATTTTTCGCGAATATCTCAAAAACTACAAGTTTTATCAAAAACATGATCATAAGCAAAAATGAAGGTACCTAATTAAATAGCAAAGAGAAAAAACTGCAAATTACAGAACTTAAAGTTCTTTAAATTCCTTACAAAATGGTTTTTTGTGTAAATTTATAACTAAAGTTATAAGTTATGGTAAAAAAATTAATCGCATTTTTTCGGTAAAATTTTTGGTGCGGGTAAATTACCATTATCTTTGTGTATTTTGGAGCACTTGTGAACTGATTTGAGTAAGTATTTTCATAATATACATACACACACGTATCCATTTATAATCTATATACATTTTTTATTTGATATAAATTTAATAAAAAAATATTAAGAATAAATTCAATAAAATAAAAAAAAAATTAATTATATCATCATACTCACATATAATTTTTAGGAAATTTTTCTATAAGGAGTAGGTTTTTTATGAAGGGTAGATCTTCCATAAGGGTTTTTTAGGTGGCTGAAAAGTTGCAATATATCATAGATCATTTGAAAACCAATAAAAAGTTCATTCAACATATGCATACCATTAAAACATCTCAAGCTTTCAATAATATTTTTTTGTTTATTTTATTATAAGGGATGGTTTTTAATGGTTGCAACTTTGTACTGAGTCTTAAGCTTTCTAATGAATTACAAAAGAAATGCAATGCATTGTGAATGCAGCAAAAGAACATTTTAAACTGTTAAAACCTTTTTTTTCTATTTTTTTGGCCAAGGGTAGTAACAATGGGCGAGAAATTGATTGAAAACATATTTTCGCATCACCATATTTTATTTACTGACGAATCAACATTCACAACTAATGGCGTGGTTTCCTTTCAAAATTGTAGATACTGGGCTAAAGACAAGATCCAAATTCTCGATTGATAACTAATAATCAAAAATTTAAGAAAACTATATTCCAGGTTTCGTGTGAGTTACTAGACAGTGATAACACAGCCCCACAAAAATAAAAAAAGGATCGGATCATGTATTTCCATGTATTTTTTCCGCTGTATCCGAATCTGCCTTCAGATTTGGCCCAACGGGTCTGAGTTTTCAAAAAAACAGGTCAAAATTCACAAAAAAACGTCATTTACGACCCACGAAAGTTATAAAAAATCAAATTCTACTAGCTCACTAGACGTATGATTTTTCACTCGTTTAATTCCAATTTATCATCGTAGAGTCAAACAAGCTGGTCCAATTTAATTCAAAAACAGAAAATAGATCAAAATGCTTAAAAACGTCATTTTCATGGCATAATTCGTGTTGCAAAGTTCTGGATCCATCTTTTTATTCATCCACCCATTTATGAATTCATACATCTTTCTATCCAGTCGTTGATACATGAACACGCATATTTATTCATCCACCTGTACCACCTATAAAACCCACCCATCCACCCATTCACCCATCTATCCATCTACTTTTTGTACTGAGAGATGAGATAACAGCCTAGAAGATTGAGAATGCAATAAAACTTGTAGAATAAATACTCTACTTTCTAAACAAAAGAAAATGATATCTACAAATCATTCTTATTTTTGCTTCTATAACGTGTTCTCTTTTCTTCAAGGGATCTATGCAAAGGGTTACGCTTTCGTTTAGTTTCTCTATTTTTCGTTTCTCTTTTTAACAACCAACAAAAATCGGCCATCGGCGTTTTTAAGCAATNTCTAATAAACGAAGGACTAAAAAAACTGCAAATCACAGAACTTAAAGTGCTTTAAATTCCTTACAAAATGGTTTTTTGAGTAAATTTATAACTAAAATTATAAGTTATGGTAAAAAAATTAATAACATTTTTTCGGTAAAATTTTCGGTGCGAGTAAATTACCATTATCTTTGTGTATTTTAGAGCACTTGTGCATACCATTAAAACATCTCAGGCTTTCAATAATATTTTATTTTATTAAAAGGGATGGTTTTTAAGGATTGCAACTTTGTAATGAGTCGTAAGCTTTCTAATGAATAACAAAAGAAATGCAATACATTGTGAATGCACCAAAAGAATATTTTAAACTGTTAAAAACTTTTTGTTTCTATTTTTTTGGTCGGGGAAGGTTAGTTTTAAGGATTTTTAAGGGTTGAGAAGTAATTAAATTTCATAAATTATATTAAATAACAAGAAATGAACTTTATTCAACATATTTGAACATTTATTGAATCTTTAAAATAAGTACACAACTCATTTTTAAAGACAGGTTCACAAAAAAATATTTGTGAGCAAGGAAACATTTCCCGGGATAATGTAAGAAAACTCCGCACCAGAATTGTGAATAAAATAAAACCCAGATATTTTCAAGTCGAATAATCGAAATCAAATTGTAAAGAGAGCCATGCTCATTTGTTATTTTCGAAAAAACTCGTCTAGATTGCACTATTCTACCATTACAGGGAGTATATAATTTTTTTTAAATTTTAATCTATTTTTATCTAGTCTATTTTTAACTAGTTGAAAACAAAAAACCAGTAAAGATCAAGTAAAAACGATTTTTCATTGATAAATATNTTGCAACTTTGTAATGAGTCGTAAGCTTTCTAATGAATAACAAAAGAAATGCAATACATTGTGAATGCACCAAAAGAATATTTTAAACTGTTAAAAACTTTTTGTTTCTATTTTTTTGGTCGGGGAAGGTTAGTTTTAAGGATTTTTAAGGGTTGAGAAGTAATTAAATTTCATAAATTATATTAAATAACAAGAAATGAACTTTATTCAACATATTTGAACATTTATTGAATCTTTAAAATAAGTACACAACTCATTTTTAAAGACAGTTTCACAAAAAAATATTTGTGAGCAAGGAAACATTTCCCGGGATAATGTAAGAAAACTCCGCACCAGAATTGTGAATAAAATAAAACCCAGATATTTTCAAGTCGAATAATCGAAATCAAATTGTAAAGAGAGCCATGCTCATTTGTTATTTTCGAAAAAACTCGTCTAGATTGCACTATTCTACCATTACAGGGAGTATATAATTTTTTTTAAATTTTAATCTATTTTTATCTAGTCTATTTTTAACTAGTTGAAAACAAAAAACCAGTAAAGATCAAGTAAAAACGATTTTTCATTTATAAATATTGAATAAAGTGCTTGAAAATTGAAACACATTGTCTTCTGTCAATTTATAAAGCTTTACCTTACCCTCATTATGTCACCTTATGTTAGGGTATGTTTTAGCGTTTTAATGAAAGTAACCTGGTAAAAAATACACAAAATCTATGTACTCATGTACAAACTTTTTTCTTACAGGGCTGTGTTATTAGGATTACCCTGTATAACTCTGGGTACGCTATTAAAAGTGCCGAAATCACTATTAGAAATGATTACGACGTTATTAGTCAGAAGTAAAAGAAAGCGTTGAACATGATTTATCGTGACAGATCTTTTTTTCTCTTATAAAGGAACAGGACGAATCAATCAAGGTGAAATTACTGAAGGTGAAATCTCTCCGGACCTACTTTTTTCAGGCCGCTCTAACTTTTCAAGTTATGGTCTGCAGACGATAAATAATGTAGGCAAATGGAAACGTCGATTAAGCCAGAAGCATAGCTGCCTCGGCTTGCTTCGAGAAACTTTCTTATAAACTAGAGCGAAAAGTTTGTAGTATCGTAATCCAATTATTTCGGAAAATATCGCGACGGAATATAATTAAAACAATTGTGTACAGTTTTAGAACAACGTGCTAACTTTTTGAATAAATATTGGTACAACTTCTTGTGGTCATTGATGAAAATGTCTGAACTCAGTCCAAAAAAAGCGTTCGTGGAGCCGGGCCCGCCGGCATTCGTCCCTTTTCTGCATGGCATAGCAGAAAAATCAAATACTGATGAGATGGACTGTATTCGTTATTGGATACCAAACACAAATCTACGATTTCATATTTACTTTTTTCTGCAAAATATACTTGGGTAAACATCTCCTAATAGGAGATGATTCAATGAAGATGTTTTTTTAGCCCGTGGCCACTAACACTAAGTAAACAGTAAGAAAAATAACCTCGGATACAGGGTGTTCCTGAAATAAGTGCGTTGCCTCAAAGTGGTAATAGAGGACGTGGTTATAAACAGTTTTTATTGAGCAAACGTGATCTAAAGTGTTGTTTCCAGAGAATTAATCAAGAATTATTACGCGAAACTTAGGCCGACACTGCATCGACCCACTTAATCAACTGTTTACAACGCTACGTCGCTACTCCAGCGACAATACAGGGTGTTACGAATAGATTGGATCCAGTTAGAATCAAGTGTCTCCACTTTTTTAAAATTAAAAAACAAAATATTACTCCAGGTGTCTTTAGCGACCTGTAAGTTTTATGTAAGACATAAATCTATGTTCTTTTCCAGCTATCCTGAACGCCTGTCTTAATAACGTTCATTAAAATATGTACAAAATAGTACAAAAATACAATGCTACGAAAAAATTGAGCCAAGAAAAGGAAAAAGTGGTACGCAAAAAACACTCCGACACGGTCAAATCCAGATACCAACTGAATTGCGTATTGGTGGTTGCTGGACACCTTAGTACCTCGTGTTAATAAACCGCCATGCCATTGTCACATTGCTCGATATGAATTTTATCGAATTT